AAAAAACCCATAAAACCTTAAGAATGAAGAGAACAGGGGGAAGATGCTAATGACAAAATTACGGGAATTGGAAAGCAAGTGGTTGGTTGCTGAATAATTTAGCAGAGCTGAAAAACGAAACAAACGAACAAACAAAAAAAACCCACTAAGCCCATCAGTAGGAAAAGCTGCGAACTACAGAATCCCCAACAGGCTCTTCTGGTTGGAGTATCATCAGCTATTTCTGGATGTGAGAAAAAGAAATAAGAACTGGTTGAAACTCTGTTTAAGAAGAAGCTACATGACCAGGTTCATTTTCTCACCCTCCTCAGCTGGGAACCTTTCCCTCCCTAATCCTGACAAAAGACTGGAGGTTTTTTCTCTGGGAAAGGTTAATGAAATCTCTAGACTGTGGGGACACCAGGCACAGGGCAGGGGCACCACACTGAAAACAAAGGAATTAAGTGTATTATGTACATTGGAAGCAGAGAGGCCCTCAGCTAGCCCCGTACATTCTGGTCCCAGAACAGACCTTCACCCTCCAGGTTTGGCAAAGTCTTGTCTAGGGAACAAAAGCAGCCGAGAAGAAAAAATCTGAAGATACTGACATCAGAGGTTTCCTATCCAAATAGGGCAGACAGATCACGCAGCCACACACCCATCCATGTGCTCAGAGCCTCTAATCAGCATCTTTGACTCCCACATTTGAGCATAAGCCAAGAACTTAGAATTTCTAGGCATCCGAGGAAATCCTCTAATCCGAACCTGAATACTGAGAGATACCAGAATGTTCTCTTCTACGTGACATGTTCTCCAGGTTGCCATATGTCCTGGTGTGCTCGATACAGTCCTATTTTACACCCGATGTCCAGGCTAATTATTTAAAGTACCTCTTTTTACTCTCAGAAGTATCCTGGTTGGCCAACATTATTTGGTCCCTTTACTATTGCTCTCTCACACCTCCACACATTTGCACTTGCTGTTCTTCCTACCTGGACTTCCCTTTCTCACATACTCTCCTAGAAAAAAAAATCCTTCACATTTCTGTTCAAGTTTACTTCCTCATAAAAATCTCCTTGAACTAAAGACCTCTCTTGTCCCTCATTACACTGCATGTACAACTTCATTATAGCAATTACTTCACTCTATTGCAGCATTATGTGTGTGTCTCCCACCTGAGCAGGAGAGCAAGGATCACGGTCTCTCCATCATTGATCATCCAGCACTCGACAAAGGGCTGCAGAGAGTGAGCCACACAATTCTTGCTCAGTGA